ATTTACCACTGTGCATATCTACTGGTTTAGTAGATATCATCTCCAAGCCTATCCCCTGATAGGTTATGGGCCCAGGCGCATGTGTGAGCTAACAGGCTTGGTCGTAGTTCCAGGTTGCTACACAGTAGAGCACGTAGAAAGTTTGCTGTTTTGCTCCACGGAAAAGTGGGGTGGATAGTTTCTGATTCAATATGAGACATCCACTGATTGCCTTAATGTGTTGACAAGATCACCATGATAAACAGCATTCTCTGAGGGTGTTATGTGACCCCAAACAACTGTGGGACACTGCTACCTCAAATTTAGGGTACAAGTATGTTGTGTAAACCTAGCCAATTTGTGACTACGGGGTTAGGATCCTTCTGAATGCAATTTGGGATAATAACACTGGCATATTTGGAATGACTGTTGCAAGGATTATCAAGTGGCATAGCTGAAGGGCTCTAAGGATTCAAAAAGGGTATATACATTTTTAATGTGCTAAAGGAAAAAAAAAAAAAAAAAAAAAGGGCTGGATGATTAAGGTGACAAGGGGGGACCCCACATTCCCAGACGATGGGGATTTTTTAATGGATGTTTTCTAAGTTTTTTAAATGGATGTAATCTGGAAGGACCACAAAAGTGGCAGGGAGTTCACACCATGATTTGCCAATTCTTCTGATTTTATTTAAATAAGGCCTGGTCTTTCCAGACTCTGCTGGGCACCTGGTAGTCAGCTGGACTCCCTTGTAAAACAGCTGCACCGGGCTCGACTTTGCACCCCACAGGAAAAATGGTTTTAAGCCCATTCCTACCTCTTTCAAAGCACCGTCAGTCACCTTGCTCCAAAAATGCCAGAAACACTCCCGGACTGCTTCTTTGCCAGCTGGCCCTAGGCCAGCTCTGGCCCCCAAGCCCCACTGCCCGATGGCTACAAATCCTCTGGCTCAGCCCGAGAATGTCAGGTCAGCACATTCCTGCTTGTGAAACAGTGTGTGCATGCATGCACGTTTATCTGTGCCTGTACGTGTGTGCGTGTGTGTGTGTAACGATCAGAAGACAGAAAACGCATACACCAAGCTGCCCGTTTCCCCCTCCAACGGTTCAGCACTGGGTCTCCCTCCTTCAATGAAAATTAACTGATAAAAAGAACACCGGAAGGAAACCTGATATTGGTTGTTTGTAAAGAATTCTGTTCTTAGGTACCTTGATAAGAATTTTTTTTAAGGGAAATTGGGAAAAAAATGGGCCAAGACAAAATTTTGCTTCTGCTGCTATTATTATTATTCCTTCCTTTTTCTCCAGCGAGCACTCAAGCCATCTTCCCCCCACCATGGCCCAAAGCTGGATGTAGAAAGTTTTTCAAATTATTTTTAATCTCCCAAATGTGGGGATTCCAAACCCAAAAATCTCTCATCTGCCCTGCTAAGGAGAAGAAGCAAAACTTCTTCCTAGAAATAGACCCTTTAACTGCCAGCACTGCACGAAGATGATTGTATTTTCTCACCATCTGCTCAGCCTTTTTGGAACTAGCCAAGAAGTTACAAAACCCATCACTGCAGGGCATGGATGGGGGTTCAGAGGGAACTCAGGCCGTAACCGACCAAGGATTATATTAGGAGTAGGTCAGAAGGTACGCAGAAAGCCAAGTCACTCATTCTGAAAAGCAGCAGAAGCCACAAAGGTTTTACAAGATCAGAAAGGAGTCATCATCTCCCAAAGATGTGGATATTCAGGTGATGGGAGTGGAGGAAAACATTTACTGAGAAACAAAAACTGTCAGCTGTTTAAAGAACACTTCTCTTTAGTTAGGATTTAGACCAGCCTTCTCTAACCAGACACCCTCAATTTTGCAGGGGACCATAACTTCCAAAATTCTTAGCCACAGGGGTGTCCACAGGGTATGGTCAAAAAAGTCAAGATGGCAACTGCCATGGTGCAACCAAAGCTCTGCCTCTTTTTTATGTGCGCTGCAGCCTCCATCTTCACATTTTTGACCACACCCCAGTTTAGCCGGCTGGGAAATCCAGACCTTACTTTTTGGAAAGTGCCAAATTGGGATGGCTATATCCGTCAACTGTTTAATTTCATACGCGCACATCCTTGCTTCTGGCATTATTTATAAGCATTTTTACAAAAATAAATCCATACTTCTTTTTAACATTTGCAGCTCCCCGTGGAGCACCTGGTTAGTCCATTAAAAAAAAATGCATAAATAGGTTTTACAATTAACACTACGACGACACATCCCGGCAGGACTTCCTCTTCTGCACTGGTTAAATGCTGGGAAGCCTAATGAGAAAAACTGACTCCTTTGGCTAGCTTACGGTTTCTTTTCAGACAGCCTAAAACGCCTCCCTGCCCTTTGATGTGGTAGTTGCTGTGCATGACCCCGAGGCCCATAATCTGAGGCCAAGCTACAACCCCACACACCCACGCACCATCTCCCTGCAGACACCACCTGTTATGGGCAGGGCATCTCAAGCCTCTGGGCTGTTCCTGCTGAGCAGACCAAGAGGGGCTGGGCCCACCTACTCTCTCTGTGGGGGTGGGTGGCAAGTCCAGCTAACAGGAACCAGGAAACTAGTTGGAGCAGAACGATGAACGATGGTGCGTTCTTGCTGCTGGTAACCTTCCCTGGACTGGACATATCTGGAACAGCATTTTCCAAAAGCCTGGCCCAAAGTCGCACCGGCTCCCTTTCTCCTTCCTTCTTGCAAGCCCTTGCTCTCATTTGGCACCCTGGCGGCACTTACCTTGTTCCTCCGGAGCGTGGGCTGCCCCTGTTCCAGGAGTGGCGGGCAGGGGCCTGGTGACCCTGGGACGATGGGACGGGAGGGAGATTTTCACTGGCCCCACATACTCCACATAGGTGCCTGGGAAATCCCCCTTTTGTTTGGTGCGCTCGTTGACCCCCAGAATCCAGCCAATCTGGTTTGGCATCTGCTCATCTCCATCCTTAAAGCCCAGCGACTGCAAGGCCCCCTTGCTCACCACCAAGGTGTCCCCAGGTAACAGATCGATGTCTTCATTGCGCTCCTTGCGGTATGGGTAGAGGGCCCGATACTGGAAGCCCTCCGTGCTCCCCATGGTCCCCTGGAAAAGGCCACGCAAACGAACCGGCAAGGGAAAAAGTGAGGGAGAGGGGTGGGATGTCGATGGCTGTCCCACTACCCTCTCAAGAGCTCTGCATGAAGGTGAAACAGCCGCTCTCCTGGGTCCACTGGCATGGACGGCCGGGCCCTAAGTACAGCCCCGTTCCCGTAACTTGAAGCCACGATTCAACCAGATGATGAAGCAAAGGGAGAACGTGACGAGCATACTCCAGCGCTTGCAGGTGGGCTGGGGAGGAGAGGCGATGACAGCTCAGGATCTCAAAGGTGTTGCGCAGGAAGCTGGGGTGTGCAGGACTCTGGAAAAGGTGGAGGAGGAGAGACGGTCACTCAAGCAGGTTCAGCAGCAGACCCCCTTAGCAATACTGCTAATACTTATATTTGACTTTACGAGGTATTCCGAGCAGCTCGTAGAAACAGAGCTCAGCCGAATCGCAAATACCCAGAACAAGCAGAGAAAAACACCATCAAGACAGCAGAAAGAAAGCAACGGGGGGGTTGTCTCCCCCATAAACACAGATCTAAAAGTTCCTAGAAATAAGTTGTGCAAAAATGGAGGGACAGAGGGGTCCAAGTACAGCTGTCTGAGGCACCAGAAACCTCTCTCCAGGTACATTAAACAGTCAGGAGAACCACCAGGGAAAGACCTGGACACTTAGGTGAGCATGAAATACTTGGACCCCAAACCGCTGGTCTCAGAGCAAGCAACCCCATTGTTAGGCTAGGAGGGGAACAGCTCTTCATTCCACAAAGCACATTAACGAGAGTCCAGAACATTGGGAGTGAAAGCAGCCAGATGTGCATGATAGGGGTTAGAGAGCTGAGATTTTGTTCTCAGTTGAATCCCTGAAAACAGGGATAAGTTTTCTCAACTGCAACACGGAGCAGTCCCAGTTCCCACCCCATTAGTTATGAGCAAGGCAAGTTTTAACTCCCTTCTCCTTCTTAAGCTTGATATCTCAGTTTTCCTGCTCTCAATTCTCAGTATTTTTTTGCAGGCAAGAAAATGTGTGACAATGGATTTATTTAGGGCATAAGAAATGGTTGGAGAGGCCTGGAGCAAGCCACAGCAAAGGGCATTAGAAGTTCACACTGTACTGGGAACAGAAGCCTGGAATTCATCTCTCTTTCACTCTCCCCCCTTTCAGCCAATAGCTCTCTCACACATGCTCTCACACTCTCACTCACACACACATGCACATTTGTAAAACTTGAACCAAGTCCAGTGAGGAGACCGAAGAAGGCTGCAGGAGGAACTTCTGCCCTATTGTGCCTCTGCAATCTCTACCCGAGGAAACGCTATCTCCCACCAGCCCTTCCCCCAAACCAGCCTATACAATCTCTGCTACTGCATATGTTAAACAGGATGGTGTGTGTGTGTGTGTGTCTTGTTAACTGCTGTCCAAATACAACAATCTGATACTCTCCCTAGAAAAAGGCTCTATGGGTAGAGAATGGGCTGGAAAAGAAATTGAATTAGATCAGGAAACAGCAATGGCAATAGTCAGGGTGGTTAAATTAAACTTCCAGCTCTTGTGTCAGGGTATCTGTGAGTCTCTCTTACATAAAAAGGTAGACAGTGTTGCTTCCATGTGAGCCTTTGAGGCTCTGATTGGCCACTGTCTAAAGTCTCAGCATTATCTAACATGGTGGAGCGGATTAGTACTTGGATGGGAGACCACCAGGAAACCCCAGGGCTGTATGCTAATGTAGGAAGTGAAAAAAAAAAAAGCAGCAAACTAATGCCATACCACCGCCAAGAAAACAACATGGAAACATTCACATAGTCACCAAAAGTCAATCTTGATTTGAGGGAGCTTTACTTTTTTTACTCTGTCTAGACCGGGATCCTGAGACAACAGGCCTTTTAATCTGATCTGGCAGGATCCTTCCCATGTTAATATGTATTGCTTCGAATTGATTGGCTTTGGTTCACAAGAGGGGCCTCCACGTCCGACCAAAAATGCAGTGATTGGTGATTAAAACCTTGGTGATTAATTGATTTCAGTCAATGTATTTCCTTTCTTTCATAATTCAGCCTTCTCCCACCTGGGTATCTCCCATACTGACTTCAATCCCCAGCATTGCTGAGAATTCTGCAAGTCAAAGTTAAATGCCAAATATCTGGACGGCTTACACCTTTGGTTTCACAGAATTTAACATAAAACCACGGGCACCCTCAAGAGGCTCTTAAAACGACAGAATGTCCTTCCGAAGACGTCCATTAACTTTCCCAGTTCACTCGCTTGGAAGGAGCAGCTGTACAAGTGTAAGAATCCTACTCAAGAGCTATTTTAACCTTGCCCTCAGAGTCCATTTTATAGTCCAGAACACCAAAGACGGATTCTCTGTAGGCGCCTTCTTTCTGTCATCAACCTTCCTGAAAATGGTGGCTGGTTACTTACAGCTCCTTTCCTGTCTGCTGAGCTGAGAGAGGGAACCAGCAATGTCTGGGCCCTCACATTTTCTTTGCTGCCTTCTCTATCTCTATTTAACCCAGTGTTGTCCAAACTTGGCCACTTTAAGATGAGTGGACTTCAACTCCCATGGCTGGCTGGGGAATTCTGGGAGTTGAAGTCCACTCATCTTAAAGTGGCCAAGTTTGGACAACACTGGGCTAAATAGAGATAGAGAAGGCAGCAAAGAAAATGTGAGGGCCCAGACATTGCTGGTTCCCTCTCTCAGCTCAGCAGACAGGAAAGG